ATTTTGTACATAAGGGCTGTTCTATAAAAAAAAAATATAATTATTCCAACCAGCTCAAAGCTGTTCAAATAGGATCTGAAATAAGTAGTTGTATGACTTTAAGCCCAGAAAACATGATAGGCATAAGTAATTTACAATGTTAATTGAACCAAATTCTATGATTGTGTGACATCACTGAAACAGCAAGTTAAAGAACAAGAAAAGAATACCAATCTCACTATTTGTTTACCTGATACTTTCTGTCAGAAGATGTTGTGTAACTTACTTGTTGGGGTTCTTGAGAAATTTTCTGCTGTTATTTGCAGCAGGCCTTTAAAAACTCCTGTCACAAAAACTCCTTTGGGTGAATGTCTTATCCAATAAAATTACCAAGTAAGTTCTAAAGTCCTAAGGAGAAACTTCTGTTTACTGTCTGCTTCATCCTAAAAGTTTTTCAGGACTTTCAGAACAACAGCCTGCCAAAGGAACCTGATTTGTGATTGCATTAAACCCATCAATGCTTAATCTGCTAATTTACTGTATGTGCATTTGGGAATTGCTGGTCATGAAGCAGAGTAACATACTCTTGATATTGTACATTTTTTCCATAATGAAAAGTCTGAACACGTGTCAAATATAAAATTAAATGTAAATAAATTAAACTGTAAATGTTAAGAAACAAATCATCAATTTTTTTTTTGTGCAGGTATCTTTATTTTGATCCCTGGCTTTGCCAGAGGTTATTCCCATATATGCTGTTCTTTACTGTTCCTGAGAAAATTGTTATTAGAAAGATATAGAGATTCCCTAAATATCTCAGCCTATGTAATCCAGTCAAGGGTTTGTCAGGAATTAAGGCTTTGAATTTTTGGCTTTGGTTGCTGGTTGTTTTGTTTTTTTAATTTGAGTCAATTTAAGATTTTTGTTTGACAAACTTTTGCTGAATCTAAGGCGCAGTTCAAACTCCCCAGCAGGCTCTCAGTGCCCAGAACTGATGCTCCCAGCCAGGCTGGGACAGGGCTGGGTGATTCCCATCCTTGGGGCTGCCAGCTGTACCCATCTGGGGCTGAGCTGGCTCCCCAGGGCACACCTGGAAGCCACAAAACCTTGAGAGGAGTCACTTTTCCTCGGGGTTCTGAGGTCCTTTTTGCACGGCGAAGGCTCTGTGCTTGGAAGGCGCGTGCTGGCGTGCAGGTGTCTGTGGCTTTGGGGCTCTGGCTGCCCTGAGCTGTCGTGTACCATCCTGCCATCTGGCTGGTGGCATCTGCAGAGCCTCAGGCCCTGTCCCTGCTCCTGGGCTAGCCAAGCAGATGTCATCTCCCTGGATTGTCACAGCGTGTGGTGGGCAGTGTCTGTGTAACGAGTAATGAACTTCAGTCACTGTGCATTCTCCCTGTGTGAACTGTGAATGCTTTCTACTGCTGAAATTTCTTTATGCATCAAAATACCAAGAGGCTGAATTCTGTAAAACTGACCAACTCCATTATTCTTTTGCCTTTTGGTGCGTTGGTTCACCAGTCTGCAAAGCAAAACCAGGCAGGGTTTGCCTCTAAGTCTTAATACTTGACCGAAACATTCACATGTTCCAGCTTCTGAAATAGTGAAAAATAGTGGTAGATCCTTTCAGCTCCCATGTCTTAAAGCAGGATTAAAGTTGGTTGTGAGAAAAGAAAAAAAATAAAATAAAAAGGCCTAATTTGCTCTGGCCTGGATTGCTCCTGCCACATTCATTCTAAACCAAGATGATTAGCATAGCAGAGCATTCCCAGAGTCTGTGAATGTGCACTTCCATTGAGAGGGGATTTGCTGGCTGGCTGCTTATGGCAGCCAATGTTCTTGTCTAGGTTTTAATTTGTTTGTTTGTGTGTTTGATGTGTTGTTAGGAGTTATAGGATTGAAAGGCTTCCAAAAGTCCTACCCAGCCTCTCAAAATATTGCTGCAGAAAAATACATGTTTGTTTTTGGAAAATAGATTCCTTTTACAAGACAGGTGCTCAGCTGTGGTTTTGGTGGGGGTGTGGAACCTGGGTATCCAGTTAAAAATTTCAGCTGTTGTTCACTTGGCCAAGCTGACAAAAATTACTTCTGACTTGTTTCAGACACAGTGGCACTTTGCACTATTGTTTTGGAAAAACAGGCAGCTTGAAAAGAATATATTAATTTTTGCAAACCAGACTGTTTCTTGCAACAAAAATGGCTGCTGTGCTACCAGTTCCATGCACCTGCAGGAATGAGGGAGCTGCAGATTTCCTGCACCATTCCCTGCCTCATTACACACATTATATAAAATGATACTAAAATTTTTTCATTTTTGTTTCAAATTAATGAAATGCTTTGAGATCTACTCCACTCTTTCAGAGAATAAACTTCCTTTTATTATCAAAAGAAGATCCTGAAGATGACTATGGGGGTTAGGAAGAAGAAATGTTTCCTTCATTATCTGTAGGTGAAACACAGCAAATTTGGCTTAGGTGACACCGTTCTGGTCCCCAGCTGAGGAGACACACCAGGTTTGATGTTGTCTTCCAGGCAGCTGCTCTGAGAACAGAGCTCAGGCCTAAGGCTGGGCATGTTCTTTACACTCTCACTAAAGTGATGGAAAGGGCCACCAGGCTTGATGAGCTGCTGGAATGGCTTAAAACAATCAAATTTAATTACTTTTTTCTCTTGTTTTTTTAAGTGATAACGAGAGAGTGAAAAACATCATCAGCTGCAGAAGAATTTTCCAATAGGAACTAGTTTTGCAATATGAATCTTGAAGGAATCAAAGAAGGATTAAATAAATGAAGAGCAAAGGGGTGTGAGGCTGTGCAGAGATGGCCAACCAGCCCTGTCCTGAGTGGACTTTGAATGTTATAGTGTAGAATACCTGATGTAGTGTGGTCCACAAAAGCTCTACAATGTGTTTTATACTTGCCATTCAGATCCTGTGATATTTTAGGCATCAGTCTTGCTAAGAACTGCAATATATTTAATTTTGATGAGGAGCTCGTTAGTTCACTCACTCCTCTCCATCCTCCACGCTTCATGGCTGATGGCTTTGATGATGATGGCACTAAATCACACACTTCAAGTTTAGCATTTCTTGGCTGTTTTTCTATAACTAATCCTAAAATATTCTTCTTAACAATTTTCTGTACAGAAAAGGATCTATTTTTTTAAGATTGTGGAAATTAAAGTCAGTGAAAAATCTGCTTTATGCTATGACCTTCTGCAGTCTCCAGAGAAAATCACAGTCCCTTTCGTATTTGTCTCCAGACTCTATAGTATCTCATCAGTATCTACAGTACGACATCCAAACGTATTTTTGACTCTGAGTTTGTGCATTTCCAGAAGTCTAGGGCTGCAAGTAAAGTAAATGGGGAAATTTTCCTGTCAAGCTGAAATAAACTAGTCATGCCTGTAATGCAAAGAGCTCAAGAAAATAAGATAATCATTACATTTTGATAACAAAGCATGGTTAGGGAATGCAGAGAAATCAATTACTGTGGAAAACTTAAATAAACAGTTTGTACAGCCTCAGCATAAGAGATTAGATCCACAGAGCTGCTTTAGGGGGTTCAGAGCTGAGTACTCACCTGTCCACAGCATTTAGCACCTGGTGTAATGGTACCTCTGTGGGGCAGAATGCATCTGAAACTGGGAGTGCTGCTCTCTGCATTAAGACTTCTTCAAAATAACAAGAGAATTTAGTCTTAAATTCTTGGCTTCTATTTTCATAGTTTATTATATCATGATTGGATTCCTTCTGTGGACCCAATCTTCTTAATAGTACTATTCATCTCTGGCAAAGGTTAGACTTGAGGAAAACTAGGACCGAGATGAAAGAGTAGAATTTATGTTATTTAGCAGCTGAATGTGTCATTACATCAGAGTTGGTATTGTGTAGCAAATTGCAAGCTGCAGTGAAATTGCTTTAAAAAATATCTGTATATATTTTTCTAAAACTGTGATAAAGTCATTCAGCAGCACATTGGAATGCATTTCTAGCTGAAGTGTTATATAATTTTTTTTTCCTGTGGTACAAGAACAGATGGCAGTTATTTTTCTTACCAGTCTCTGCTGCGATGCTTTGCCTTGCCTTGTAAATGTTTTCAAGTGAAAGACAAGTACACAGGACCAAAATGAATCTGCATTGTAACACTGGACTGGGGCTTCTAAAGCAAACTTTTAATCAGCTTACAACATTAGGCTGGAGATAATTACTTAATGTCCTATCAGTCAAGTAGTTCATTATGACAGGAAAATGAGCCGTTAGTCAGAATCAATGGCACGTTTTGCAATAAGTTTTTGGAGCAGATGTCTTTCTTCATAGACATTTTTAATGCAATAATTGAGTATTCTATGACTTGAACACAACTGTAGTCACTCCCCAGGGGCGCACACTGCTGGATTTGGAGATGCTCTCTGTGACTTTATGGCATTCCTGGGGTGACTGTGATTAATCTGAGAACCTCAGCTGATCATTCAGTAGCTGGAGAGTCAAAAGGGCTCCTGCCCCCACAGTGACAAAAGTGTTTAGTGATTCTATACATTGTTATAAGCACAGTATAAATTGCAGTGTTTTTTGAAGGATTTACTTTTAAAATCATTGCTACCTTAGCACTAGTTTGGCAGCTCTGAGAAGGCCTGGTGAAAATGTCTCTAAATACCACCTGGTGTACTGTTGCCTGCATCACCAAAAATTCTGTCTAGCTCTAGAAATGCTGTATTCTGAAGTGAAATCAGTTATAAATCTAAATGAAACCACCAAGTGTTGTAAATCCAGGGCTGCCTACCAATTTATGACTTTCATATTGCCTGCTGTAATGTGCCATATTATAAAAGCATTGTTAGGAGCTTTAAATTATGATTTAGTAGACTTGGCAGTGCTGGGTTAATGGTAGGATTCAATGATCTTAAAGGTCTTTTCCAACCGAAATTATTCTAAATTAACGCTGTACTGAAAATCCAGCTTTATTCAGAGAAGCTCCAATTCTTGTTTTATACAAACTTTTCAATAACTGTGTCTTATTTTACAGCCTTCGACAGAAGAAAGGCAACTTGGCCCAGAAGCCCTGGGCTGGGGCAGCCAGCATGGGCAGGTGCAAGCCCTGCCCCGCGGCACACCCCAGCGCGGTCTGCGGCTCCGATGGACACAGCTACAGCAGCAAGGTGAGCTCTGCCTGGGGCCCCAGCTCCCCTCAGCTCAGCCACCACGTGGGTGAGGATGAAACACCTCCTGTTGTTAGGCAGTATTCATTTACACTCTTTGTTAATCCAGGAAAATTTCTTTTTGTGTAAAAAGTGCTGATAAATGTAGGCTTTTCCGTCTTTGACAAACGGCAAATCAAGATGCCAAATCACAATCTTGTGGCTTTCCTGATTCATTTTTCTCTAAATAACCTGTTCTCTTAATGAAGTAGAACACTTTTAATATTGATGGTGCAACTGGAAAAAAAAAATCATTTGGTGAGATTGGCTTGTTTAGACAAGAGGATTTGGGGATCATTCTTTTTTTTTAAGAAATGGTCTCCAAATCATAAAATAACTATGCAGAATCATTCTTCAGTGATAGATTTATTTTTAATTGTCTCTTTTTTCCTAGACTGCATGGGTAACATATTACAATTCATTTAGCCTGTGGTTTTAATAGCCTGGTGTGCCAGATGCAGCATATATGGTACCATAAAAAAATTCCCATAACCCAGTGGGGATAAATTGACTCACTGTTATACTGAAAATACGATCACCTTAGGGCTTGACTCAATAAAAGAAAATGTCTTCACAACCAGTCAGTGTTCCAGATCTCCCATTAGCAGATAAAGCCTTCCATGCCTTGGATACAGGTCCCAAAAACAGCACTTCAGGCACTGGAAAGCATGTTTTGGGAAATACCCTTAAGGTTCTGTTATCTTGATGCATGCACAGTAATGTTTGACAGCCAGTAAAACTACCATTTAAAATCCAAAAATAGCCTTCAAAAAAAAAACAACAAACCAACAAACAAACAGGAAAATAAAGCTATTGGGCAAAAATTCTCTGCTGTGTTGTAACAACTACATTATTTTCTCAGCTGGGCATCTTGAGTTCTCCACTTAATAATGGACACAAATATTAAAATGCCATGCCTTGGTAATTTCAGCTTCTCTCTTGTTCTGGATGAAGGATTTGCATGGCCAGAAGGAGCAAATCAGAGCAGAAACTCTCATCTGTGCACACAGACTGCAGGAAAAATGTCCACATGTTGCCTGTTAAACAAGTGACTCTTTAATACTCCCTAGGAGTGTGTATTGCAGTAATTTAGCTTTGGTTTTTATGGTTAAGATGGGCTCATTTTAAAAACAACTTTTTCTGTCTGAACTCTTGAGTCTGTAAGATGTTCTGCAGTAAATAGATTTCATTTCACGTTCTGTCATGCTATTAACTCATTTCTGTGCATCTTACCTGCATCTCTATTAGCTCCAAATGGGCTTTTGGCCTTTGCTATTTCTCGCCATAAGATCTAACTGGTTTTCATCAGACACACTGCCGATGTTATAAATTCACCAAGCTGTTGTGATTATGATATAAACCTGACAGCTACAGTGAAGACATGAAACATTTCCTGGTGCTGACATGTTTGATTGTCAGAGACACCTCCCAGAAGTTGCCTGTTTGAGTTTTGGGGGTTATTTCAAAGGAAATTTGTTAAAGATTTATTCTGAAACAACTTTGTCTCATCTTTATTTATTGTATGTTTTACTATCAATTGCTCCTGTCCTAGCAAAATTAATTAATTTTTATTTTTTTTTTAGAATTTGGATTTTGGTAAATGAGCTGAAAATACTTAAGGGAAAGTATCAAAGTAAAACAGTATATGTTAGTGCCTTAACAAATTGCATTTTTATGATCAGGAATGATCATGGCTGTGTGGTATCTTTGACAAGAAAACAGTGCTCCCCTCAAACTCACTGTTAGAATTCACCAGACAATGTGTTCCCTTTTTCTTGCCTTCAAGTCACTAAAATCAAAGTTTTCTCAGTAATTTTCTTTCACATACCAGTGCTGTTGGCAAGTATTCTTTCTGGCCCTGCAGTGCTGTCATGTTCTAGTACTGGCTGTGAAAATGCAAGAAGGTGGACTCGAGTGTGGGCACTGCTCTGTGCAGGGATGTGTTTGTTGGTCCCTGGTTCTGCATCTGCTGCCTTGTGAACACGCAGTGACGAGCTGGGCAAAGGGATTCCTGCTGAACTTGTGAACAAAAAATGGAGAGAGGACACTAAGTTTCAGGGGGAAGAAAAACTTCTGAAGCTGTATCTTAGGCTTCCCCTGCTGCTGGCAGCCAGGGGGAACACGCAGACACAGCAAGAGCTGATCCATGGTGGCTGCAGGTGGGTTTGGCCTCTCCTGCAGGCACAGCAGGGGCTCAGCTGGGAGATGGGGTTTGGGCTCCCAGCTCCTGGCCTGGCAGAGCAGCATCAAAGAGTTCCAGTGATGACCTGGGGCTGCCATCCTACAGCAGCAGTGCTTGTACCAGGGCTGGCCCTTTCCATACTTTGAATGGTTATCTGAGGAAAAAGAGGAATGAAAAGGAAAAGGCACAACAGAATTGTGGCTGACTGATTGAATGCAGATGAAACCTGGGTGTCAATAAATGCCCAGTAATTCACATTAAGAAAATACACACATATTTAATATACATCATAGCCATTTGATCCTGGAATAATTCCAGCTGTTTCCCAGGAAACATTGTAGACCTTGAGGCATGAATTTCTTGACAAAATTGGGGAAAGTCAACCAAATCAATAATGCAAGGGTTATAGGGGGAAAAGAATAACAAAAGATAAGCTAAAGCACTGTTTTTGAGCTTACTGGTTGATGTAGATGGAGGTTCAGGGTGTTTAACAGCCTTGCTGTTCCACCAAAGACATGGAACCCTTCAGCCCCACAACTAATTTATAGAGGGCTAGTCAAAGGAATCTTTCATCTTTTTAAGCTTCCATTGAAAAATATTCAAAATAATCAAAAAATATTTGATTTCCGACACAAAGACAAATGGTAAAACATTAAAAATTATGAAAATTCCATGCCCACATCTTGTGCTCCAATGATTTAAATATCACCTAAACTATAGGAGACACAAGGTAATAAGAACTTTGATGGCTCTAAAGTTGATTTAGCTTCATGTGTGGGAGTTGTACTGCTTAAAAAATCTCATCACTCTTTAGACATTAAACCTTTCTGGTTCTTTTTCTGAAATCTTTAAAACTTGATCTGGATTGTTTCATCTGCTGTGCACAAGTGCTAAAGTGGAAATTGATAAGCCTGTTGGGCTGTACTGTGTGGTGGGGTTTTTAATGTTCTAATTTTGATTTTCAGATGACAAACTAATTCTTCTGAGAAATGGGATTCTTCAGTTACACCAATAATTCAGCACTTCTGCATGACAAAATTTGAACACAGATGTGGCCTGTATGTACTCAGTCCCTGTACCTTGTTTTCAGCAACTGAGAAATTAGTGGTTTTTGAACCTGCAGAAATTTTTTGTATTTCTGGAAACTTTATAAACTATCCCCCTTTCCTGTGAGGTTTGAACCCTAAGAGGCTTAGGTTTACCAAAGATTTCACTGATTTTTTATTTTTTTTTTCTACTTACTGCTTGAAATGCAGGTGTTTTAAAATGTGCACCATCTCTCACAGAATAACTTTGTACAAAGAAGTTTCCTGGGTATAACAGCTCTATTTCATATTGTGACAACACAAAGCACTTCCATAGGTTATTACAGGCAGAGTTTTCAAAGCTCTTTAAAGTACTAATGAATTAAGCTTATGAGGTACGTAAGTCCTATAAAGAGCTTGATGTAATTAGTTAATGTTTTTGTGAGCAACACATTAAGAAGAATAACTTTGTAGATGTCAGTTTTACAGGAACTTTAATTATGCTTGTTAATAAAGCAATTACCTGAACATGACGATGACTGTACTTAACTAGTCAGAAAATGAAAATTAGGATGATCTTAAATTACAAAACATACCACCTCAATGACTAATGGTCCCTTCAAAGATGGAAAGGTACATTGGCATAATTATTATGTTTCTAATTAGGTACATTGTTGTTCTGAAAATTTTAATTAAATCATTGTGAACTAATTAAATTCATGATCATGTCTCTTTCTGTTTGAAAATGTAAAAATCATGTCCTGTTGTCATAACATTAGGTAATTAATTTGATATTAAGGGATGTACAAGAAAAAGAAAAAAATTCTAACAGTCTTGAAACAGAAGAAAAAATAACGACCAAAATAATGAGACACTATTAGTTAAATGTGTGCAGTGTGAAGGCTGCTACATTTAATTAGAAGTCTGTATGCAGAAGCACAATTAACAAATTCTTGTTAAAGTGTCTAACTGTTGAGAATCACAGAATCACAAAATCACTAGGTTAGAAGGGATGTTCAAGATCAAGTCCAACCCAGCCCTAACACCTCAACTAAACCAGGGCACCAAGTGCCACATCCAGTCTTTTTTTAAACACATCCAGGGACTGCACCACCTCCCTGGGCAGACCATTCCAGTACTTTATCATTCTTTCCATAAAAACTTTTTCCAAATATCCAACCTATATTTCCCTTCCCTTTTTGTAGAAATTGATAGATTTTATAGGATGTGACCATTCTGAATGAACTCTCTACAGGAAAAAGATTTTGCTACTTCTTCATTCTAGTGGCAGGTTTCCAATATTCATCCATATTTTGTTATTTGACTCATTGTGTTGCAGGGGGGTTCCTAACTTTAGAAATACATCTGACACAAAGCTTTTAGCACTACTGACTTTATTCCCCAAATAACCACTGAGAAATTCCAGAGGACTGTGGGAGAACTAGAGCTGGCCTGATGTTGAGTACCTTTGTATATTCCCTTTCTTGACTCTGGCACATCTGGCTCCTGCATTCCCACGAGGTAAATGTTCCCTCAGCCTGTGCTCTGGGCCAGTGAGACTTGAGTTGTGTAATCCAAAAGCTGTGTGAAGCTGTTATTGCATAATCAACTCCTAAATTATAAATTTTGTCTCTCAGAAGGCAAAACAGGCGCAGTTCTATGCTGTGCATCCAGGGCTACACAGTTAATTTGGCTTGAAGCATGAGGTGAGCAATGTTTTTTGATCAAGTGCTCTGTATCCTAAAGACATCCCG